ATGGGGTGGGGATCCATGGGGTGGGGGGGTGCATGTAGCGGTGCATGGGGCAGGGATCCATGGGGCAGGCGGTGCATGGGGTGGGGATCCATGGGATGGGGGGTGCAGGTAGGGGGGCATGGGATGTGGTGTTCATAAGGATGCAAGGAGATGGTGGGGGGTGAGGGGGTTATGGGGTGGGACTGCAGGTTGGAGTGGGGTACAGGGTTGGGGGTGTATGGAAATTGTGGTGGGTGAAAGGGTTGGAGTAGGGAGGGTTGGGATAGGGGTGGAAGGATGAGTAGGGGGGTGCATGGACTATATACATTGTTGCCTTGACTCCCTCCAGCCGAAGGGGAAAGGTCCAAGTCTGGGCTTACCTCTGCCTCATTGGATGCAGGGAATTCCCTGTGTGCCTTCCTAAACCCAGCAGAGGAGGAAGCCAGTTGGCTCCTATGGGTAGGAAACTACCCAGCCCTGGCCTCTATCCCTTGATCCGGGTGGTTGGAGTGTGGACTCCCTGCACACAGTAGCTCTGAGTCCAAATATTTCAGCATGAGCAAAACTTGGAAATAATCACTGGACTCAAGTGATGGCTACTGTGAGTAAGTTTGTGAAGGTGACGAAGAGAGGTTGAGCTGCAGAAATTGCAAACAGGTGCCTGGGATGCCAAGCGCTCAGGGGGAAATAATCACTGGACTCAAGTGATGGCTACTGTGAGTAAGTTTGTGAAGGTGACGAAGAGAGGTTGAGCTGCAGAAATTGCAAACAGGTGCCTGGGATGCCAAGCGCTCAGGGGGAAACATTTTGCTGAATGCAATGGAAAGAAGACGACACCCAGAACCACTGCCTGGGGCTGCACATATGTGAGTGTTAGACTCAGCCTTGGAGAATGAAGGTGCTGCTATTTGTGCACTGCCATTGCCAACACCAGCTGACAGAAGCTGGATCCGGGTCAGCCAAGGACACAGAGGAGGAAGCGTCGTGGTTTTTTTCAATCACGAATGGTTTTGTAACCAAACCAGTCCCAGAATGGAAACCAAAGAGAGACTGGAAAATCACAGCTGTTTTTGTATATATAGCTATAATAGTCCCTTTTCTGTTACTGAGCATCCCATTTTTCAAGCAAGAATCAGCTGCTTAAAGCCAGGCTACCAAGCACCCAGTCCAAAGCAGGCAAGCTGCGAAGAGGGAAATGCTGTGATGATCAGTGTTCTCTGGAAGCTGGACACTTGTGGGGCTGCACAGGAGAGATTCAAACACTGCCCAGGTCCCCTGCTCCACCGGGTGAGCTCTGTCCTGTGAAATAATGTGGCCATGGCTCAGTGAAAGGCAGCTGGCCTCAGTCGCACTGGCCCCTCGCTCTCCCTGTGTCTTGTGCTTGTAAGAAGCACACGGGATCTTTTTCAGGGAATAAGGCAACCGAGCACGGAATGCAAGAAGCAGCATAATCATTTTGATACACACATGCGCACAGCCCCGCCAACAATGTTATCGTTACCGATGGGAGGAGCCTGGCTTGTTGGTTGTGATCTGATGCTTCCAGGCTGCTTGGGAGAATGAACCCAGAGAACTATGGCACAGCAACTCATTTTTATAGTAATTTGTCCCCATTGAGGTCTATGGGTTGTGTACAGTCCTGTTGTGATCAGTTACTTCTTAACAAGTGTTTATCTGTAGATTGGTTCCCTCCTCATCCAGTCATGAGCATTTGAGAAGATGTTTTCAGGGACTCGCCCCATACTGGTTGGGGTCAGATCAGCTTCTCTTGTCCCTGAAAGGGGTGTTTGCCTCCTCTCCAGGGTCATCAGTTCTACTAACTCGATTAACCCCGGCCTAATAATTGTCTCCTGCGGTCTCCAAATCTCTTGTTTCTCAACTCTCTGGACATTTGTGATGGCTTTCACCCTTATTCTTAACTATGCATCCATTCCTCACTCGCACCAAAACAATTTGACAGAGAAGGTCCAACAGGGTTACATTGTAGAAAGGAGTCTAGGGTTACTAAAGAGATTACAAAAGAACCTCATGCGGCTTAATTTACAATGCAGATAAGAAGCCCAACTTAATATATCAGCGGGGTAGCCGTGTTAGTCTGAATCTGCAAAAGCGACAAGGAGTCCTGTGGCACCTTATAGACTAACAGATTTATTGGAGCATAAGTTTTCGTGGGCAAAGACCCATTTCGTCAGATGCACATAGTGGAAATTCCAGAGGCAGGTATATATAAATATAGAGGCATAAGAAAATTAATTTGTAATTCATACAAGAAGAAAGACTGTATAGAAACACTGTGCTAAAACTAAGATAAATGACCAGAATAAGTTATGGTCTCTTCCTGCCTTAACATTAAGGTCTGTGCTTATCAGCTTACCCAGTGCGTCTCTACCAACCGCACAAGCTGCTCCTGCTAATCATGAAGGGTGGGTAAAACAGAAGCATAGAGATCGTAATAGCACAGCATTACATAGGAGTCTTACACAAACACTAAAATATTACCTGTTGGCTATGTCCACAGGGCATGATGTTCCCTGCCCTGCACCATCTCCGCCCAGGCGTGCGCCCCACCCTCGGAGCCACGAGGGCAGGCGGCTTGGCACGGGGGTACCTGTCCCAGGAGAACGAGCGGCGGTGCCGAGGGCTGCTGGAGGCCTCTTGGCAGCGGCTGTGCTGGTGACGCTGTGTTCGGTGGGCGGGTACCCTGCACTGCTGTACACGCTGCGCTCCAGCACGCTGACAGGCCACCACAAGGGAGACGTCAGGTACTCCTGCCCGCCCAGGATTCACTGAGTGCCCTGCAGAAAGGCCCCTGCTGTGTGCACAGCCCCTCCGTCTGAGCCTCCCCCTGGGTTCTCTGCACCCCTCCACAGCTCTGCCAGGGCCCCTCAATCCCAACCTACAGCCCCTGTTACCTCAGCCCAGAGCTACCCCCTAGCTCTGCCAGTGCCCCTCAATCCCAGCCTACAGCTCAGCCCCCCCCACCCCCAGTTACCTCTGCCCAGAGCTACCCCCTAGCTCTGCTGATGCCCCTCGGTTCCAGCTCATAGCCCCTGGGGCTCTGCAAACACTCTCTTCAATCCCAGAGCGACCCCCACCCAGCTCTGCCAGAGGCCTCCGGTGCCAGGGTGGAAGATGCCCCAGGCACTGTGGCAGGCAGCAGGGGCAACGGGTCCTGCCTCCCCTCTAAGGAGACTGGTTTTCTTGTTGCAGTTTTCCGGGGGGCAAGCGCGACAGCTCTGACCAGGATGTGATCGCCACGGCGCTGAGGGAGACACAGGAAGAGCTGGGCCTGCGCCTGGAGGCTGAGAGTGTCTGGGGGGTCATGAGACCCATCCCCAGTGGGGTAACACTGCTCATCTCCCCCATGCGTTGTTGGGGCAGGGCAGTGTGAAGGGGGGGGGCAGTGTGAGGAGAGGAGGATCAGGTCCGGACAGTAGGGCCCTATGTGAGGAGTGGGAGGCCCCCTTTGGGGTGTCCTGTTGGGAGGCTCTCCGAGGGGGGAGAGTCCCATGGGGGGGGGGAAGAGTGAATTAGAGGGAGATGGGGGGTGCCAAGAGGCAGTGGGTTCATGGCAAGGGGGTTTTCCCCAAGTAGAGGTGGGGTCTGTCAGGGCAGTGTTGTGAGGCAGAGGGGTCTCTTAGGGAGGATTCGGGGGGGGAGTGATCAGGAAGGGGTTCCTAGGGAAGCCAGTGTCAGAGGGGTCTCACTCTGGTTTCCTTCCAGAGGGGACTTAGAGGGAGATGGGGGGTGCCAAGAGGCAGTGGGTTCATGGCAAGGGGGTTTTCCCCAAGTAGAGGTGGGGTCTGTCAGGGCAGTGTTGTGAGGCAGAGGGGTCTCTTAGGGAGGATTCGGGGGGGGAGTGATCAGGAAGGGGTTCCTAGGGAAGCCAGTGTCAGAGGGGTCTCACTCTGGTTTCCTTCCAGAGGGGACTGACTGTTGCTCCCGTCCTGGCAAATCTAGGCCCCTTGGAGTATGTGTGTCTGAACCCCAACCAGCAGGAGGTGAGCCCCACACAGACCCCACCCTGCCACGGGGCTGCCCTTAACATGCGCAGGCCCCTGCCGCCCTTTGGCCCCCTGGCTGGAGGGAGACGGCTCCGCCTGGTTAGCATGCTGGCCTCCCGCAGGGAGGAAAATCGGCAGAGCTGGGCCCAGTATCACCGTGGGCCTGCTGCCTGAATCAGGCTTCCCCTACACGGACATGGCCCGGCCAGAGCAGGCCCTAATCCAGCAACTCAAGACCAGCAAGTGCCCAGCTTGAGATCCCTCCTCCCCTGCCCAGCAACTGCTCTGCTGCAGCAACTGGAGACTCCCTTCCCCCAAACTGGGGGAGAACCCAGCTCCTGCAAAGGGACCCTGGGGCCTGCTGGTCTCCACTTAGATGAGAGCATGGCCTAGTTATGGCTCAGCCGTGCCAGCCTCACCTCCGCAGTGGACAGGACTAGGTTGGCAGCAGAGCACTTCCAAGGACTGAGCTGCCACCACTTGGAGAGACGCGGTTCCTACCACCATGGAAACCCCCTTCCAGCCCTGTAGCTGCTGCCCTCGCCCCCTTAGCGTGGACACGGCCTGAGACTTCGCTGATGCATTATGGGGAATCCATCCTGCCCCAGGACGCCTGGTTCCAAACTTTATTTCCCTCCCTCCCAGCCATTTGCACCTCAGGGCTGGTCTGAGCTTCTAGCCCTGGGCTTCACTCTGCCTGTATCGGACACTACAGGGGAGCCCCCCTGCTCTCAGAAATGCTGAGATCCCTTTGGACCCGAGCATGTGGCCTCCTCAGCTCTTTGCAGTTCTACCTCGTGGCAGAACATTTGAAATGGGAAATTGTCATTGGGAGAGGGCATTTCCAGTGAGGTCCCACAGGAATCGGTCTTTGGTCCCACCCCAGTGTTCCCTCTAAGGTTGTAGGTCCATGTGCGGGATGAATTTCGGGATGTGCACCACTATAGCAGTGAGATGTGACATCACAAAACTCATTCCGCACATGTCCAATGCGTGACGGGGGGGCCGAGAGGTTAAGAGTGTGGGAGGGGGCTCAGGGCTGGGATGCAGGGTGGGCTCTAGCGTGGGGCTGAGGCTGAGGGGTTGGAGGGAGTGCAGGCTGCCCTGGCAAGAGATGACTATCCTCAGTCCTGTGTCACTGCAGAAGCTCGGGGCTAGCAGAGCAGTACTGCTCCAGTGGGGCTGGACTAGAGAGGTGCACCACTCCATGGCCCTGCATGAGCGGGGTAGGCTAGGTGGGGGCCAGGGAACGGGCACCATGCCGGGGCTGGTGGGGAAAGGTCTCCCCCCACCACAGCCCTAAGTCCCATGCAGGGGCTCAGCAGGCCGCTATACGGCTGCACAGCTTAGAGGGAACTTAGCCCTACTATGCTATTGACCATTTTTGTCAATGACCTGGAAGAAAACACAGTATCATCACAGACACAGTAATCAGGGAGCAGTAAATAATGCAGAGGGCGGGTCATTGATACCAAGGAGCTGGCTCTCTGGGAAACTGGGCACAAGCAAACGACATGTGTTTTAATAGGGGTAAGTGGATACCTCTAGGAACAACGAAACTAGGCCAGCCAGGCTGGGGGCCTGTCTCAGAAGCTCGGAGAAAGATTTGAGTCATGCTGGAGATTCAGCTGGATGTGGGTGTCCAGGGTGATGCTGGAGCCGAGAGCGTTAACGCGATCCTGCCTATACAAGGGAATCTCAAGTAGGGCAAGAGATTCCTTTGCCCCCGTAGTTGTCACCGTGTGACCACTGCTGAGTAAACCGTGTCTAGATCTAGAGCTCACAGTTCAAGAAAGATGTGGGTACGTTGGAGAGGGTTCAAGGGAGCGCTAGGAAAAGGATTCCCCGCCCTACAGTGATGGACTCTAGGGGCTCAAACCTACTGGTGCACCACCCGCCTGTTTTGCTAGCAGCCATCGCCCATAGCTGCTGAACAGCTGGGGCCAAGCGCGGAGCCAAGGCACCAGCAGCTCCCCTTTCCCATGTCCCTTGCTGAGCTGGCTGGTCTTTAACCCTTTGCTGGCTGCTCTCCCCCACTGTGGAGCGTCTTTCCCCATCGCCCTCCCTGGGAGTGCGGCCCCCCCAGCTCAGTGCGCAGCATGACTCGAGGGGAATGGCCGGGCTGGGAGCTTTGAGGGGGGACAGAATCGGCCCGGCCCGGCCAGCAACTCCTACAGGGGACAGCCCGCTACTGTCCTGCTGCAGTAGCTGTGCTTGGGAACAGGCCTCTTGGGAGGGGGGTGGACACAGGGCCGGGAGGGAGCAGATGGAGTCCCAGCTGCTCCTCCCTCAGGCCCCTGCTCTATGCACGAGGTGCCCTGTAAGAGGCTGGGAGTGCAGAACCCAGCCCCACAGGGCACCCGGGCGTGCTGCTTTCCTAGCCCAGTGCGGGGGCTGGGGTAATGGGACGTGACCGGGCAGGGCAGCACCAAACCGGCCCTTTCTGTGTCTTCGCCCCCAGGTCGAGGACGTGTTCACCATCCCCCTGTCTCACCTGCTGCAGGCCCAGAACCAGGGCTACACCCACTTCCGCCACCAGGGCCGCTACAGCCACACGCTGCCCGTCTTCCTCAACGGCCGCTACCGCGTGTGGGGGCTGACGGCCATCATCACAGACCTCACCCTGGAGCTGCTGGCGCCCAGCGCCTACCGCCGGAGAATGCGCCCGCCCAGCACCCGCTGAGCCCCAGCCCACCTGCCCCGGCACCACAGAGTGGACAGAGCCAGCTGGCCAGGCTGGGGGAGGCGCCCTGGAGGCAGAGAGCGCCTATGGGAAAGGCTGGGCAAGGTGCTGCCCACCCCAAGGGCATAAGGGATGGAAGACAGACTGGGGGGGGTGCGCCCACATGCAGGAGCATGGGACAGGACTGAAGGGGTCACCCCAGGAGGGAATCCCCCCTACCCCCGTGATAACACAGCTGTCAGGAGGGAGAGGCTGCAGCCTGCTGTATTTCACGTGGGGCCGACATAAACAAACCTCCCCAAGCTGTGTGCGGTCTCCCTGCTGCAGGGGAAGGGAGTGGCCCAGGCCAGGCACTGCCCCCTGCTAGACCTCAGCTCCTGCTCCGTGGGAAACATCAACAGGGACTCACATTCATCCCACCCTTGTCAGCAAGGGGGGCGGGAGGAACACCTGGGACCCCGACCAGCCCCTTCCCCCAGGGCTAAGGATGCTGAAATGCCATTGTCTGGCTCATGGTAGAGTCGATACAATGGGTATCAGCTATGCAATTAGTCGATAGGCGCCTCTGCAGAGCCGCAGTGGAGGCATGGGGGGGGGCGCTCCAGAGGAGCCGACTCGAGACCAGACTGAGCAGTCCTGGCTCCTGCCAGCTCCAGGGCCCCCGCGCTCCAGCTCTGCATCTGAAATGTAGGAAGAACCGCTGGGCTCTTAGCACATTTAAAATGCAGAGTCGCCTTGATCAGCACCAGCTGGCACTGCTCAATCTCGGCTCGCGCTGAGACCAGCAGCCCCCGTTTGTGGCACAGTCCTGCCTGCCGTGAACAGGGGCTGGTGCCTGAGCAGCCCCTGCCCACGGACAGCCCTGGGGTTGCTTGGTGGCAACAGCCCCTGTCCTTCAGGGGGGTGCAGTTCTCCACTGGGAATCCTGTCGACAGGGGCTGCTTTGCAGGGGCTGATAGAGGCAGCGAGGGTGGGGGGGGCAGGAGACAGCCTGGAGACAGAGCTGGGGGGGGGACTGGCTTTTAAACTGGCTCCCCCAGCACCAGCTCCTGTCCCCCCCCTTGCTGCCTTTCATGGAGGCAACAAGGCGTGCGTGCCGCAGAGAGCTCAAGGCGAGCAGGCACTGCCTTATGTGGCTCTTGTACATTTCAAAAGCAGAATTGCAGCAGATGCGGCGCGAGCAGACTGCTTCAGTCCCCCCTCGCACCGTTTCCCCTGTGCCTCTGCCTCCCCTGCCCCCCACGGACACAGTGCTGGGGGGAACCAGCTTTACCAGTTCCCCCCAGCACTGCCTCCTGCTCCCCGCCCTTGCTGCCTCTCTACAATAGAGGCAGCAAAGGGGGAGGGCGTGAAGTGACTACTCGAGTCGACTATCCGATAAGCATTTGCTTATCAGACAGTTGACTAGTTGCTTCCATCCCTACCCAAGGACCACCCCCACCCCCTTCTACCCCCACACAGGCTTGTTCACTGGGCTCCGGTTTGGGTGAGGCGAGATCAGAAGATAACCCAGCCCCATCAGACTCAGGTTGTGTTTGATCATCGGCCCATGTCACAGCAGCTGCCCCGTCAGCTACTGCCACCTGTGCGCTATAGAGCGCGGGCACCAAGTCGCAGCTCCTTGCTACTGCCGTGCACCTGGTCTCAGCCACCCCACTGAGCCCATGGGCAGAAGGCGGCGCAGGCAGACTGCAGGCACAAGGCCACCCCCAGCTCAGGACACAGCAACAGCTCAGGCTTAGGGAAGTGTCCAGTCTGGCTTTAAAACCAGACCCACTCCTCAGGCCAGCTCCAGCCTGCTCCATGCCTGCCAGGCCTTGGGCTGCAGCTCTGGTGCTCCCCCCACCCCGCTGGCTGCCGAGCGCCATGAGGCAAGGCCAGGGCTGCTGTGCCCCACACGAATCAGACAGAGACTCACCTCAGGCTGGGCACAGGGCTCTGCTCAGCAGCAGTGCTAGAGGAAGCGTCTAGGCGAGGACAGCAGCCTGCAGCTCAGGGTGTTACACAGACGCACATTCACACAGGAAGGACACCAGCTGCCACCACGGCATGTTTATTGGGGCGCTCACCCAGCGGGGGGGGTGAGGAGACAGCTCAGCCAGGGGGTCTCTCCTCATGCGAGAGACCCCAATCTACACACAGTAAGTCACCCACCCCGCACACGGCAGAGACCCCAACGCCCAGGGACACCAAGCACTGACCCCATGCTGGGGGGTTAGATCCCAGGGAACGTGAACTACGCAGCCCCTCCTGCACGCTGTCATGGGGGAGGGACACTGACCACGCACAGTGTGGCGAGATCCCGATCTCTCTGTCTCTGGGCACCCTGCCCTCAAGCTGACGCCTGCCGAGCCTGGGCCTCCTCGTGGCGCCGCATCCGCTGCTCCAGCTCTGGGCGGAAGTGACGGATCAGGCCCTGCAAGCAAGGAGTGAGTGCACAGGGCTGGCAAGGGAGCACCCGCACACACACATACAGCAGCCCCTCCATCTGCCGGGGGGGAGGGATAGCTCAGTGGTTTGAGCATCTGCCTGCTAAACACAGGACTGTGAATTCAATCCTTGAGGGGCCATTTAGGGATCTGGGGCAAATCTGTCAGGGATGGTGCTTGGGCCTGCTGTGGGGGCCGGGGACTGGACTCGATGACCTCTCGCGGGCCCTTCCAGCTCTAGGAGATGGTATATCTCCGTGTATTATATTATATCTGCAGGATTCTCTTCCCCCAACACACAGGGTGCCTTTGTGCCAGGCTAGTTTACGCCCACCCCTCCTCCCCCAGCTACCTGCACAGGCCAGGCGGCCCCATCGCCCAGGGCGCAGATGGTGTGGCCCTCGATCTGTTTGCTGATCTCCCAGAGCGCGTCGATCTCAGCTGCCTGCGCGTTGCCTTGCACGAACCGCCACATCACCTTGTTCATCCAGTCCACACCTGGGGGGCACCACAGCCAGTCAACCCACAGCTGGGGGAAGGGCTGGGCTACAGCCTCGCTGCCCTCTCCTGATCCCACCAACAGCTGGCCCATCCCCCACTTAGGATCCAGCCGGCCTGGCATTTCCCCCCCTCCCCGCCCCCATCTCCCCAATAGGCAGACTGACAGATCCCTGCCCTGCACTCACCCTCCCGGCAGGGCGTGCACTGCCCGCAGCTCTCGTGCTTGTAGAACTCGATGAGGCGGGCGATGGCCCGGACAAGGTCTGTCTGGGGAAGGAGGAGAGGGTGAGTACCGCTGCAGGCACC